GAGGTGGATCACTGTGGTTTCTGTAGCCAGCTTAAACTCTTTTCACATGGCTGCTGCTTGTGGAAGATCTAAGGTGAAGTCAGCTTTTCTGTGTTGCTGAACTGTTGTTGTTTTTTACATTGCTGCTTTTTATTAATATGTGTAGGGCTCATTAAAAAGTATACAATTTACTAACTTCTCTGGCTGAAACAATCTTTTCATGCAGAGTTCCACCATCACAGAAATCCTTCATTATAAGAAATAAAAAATTGGTAAAGCTTGTATTAGGATTACAGCAAGGAGCCTAAAAGTGTGACCTCCTTTGATTAACTCGCATTCTTTCATGCAGACATTAACCTGGATCAGAAGTAGATTGGATTAAATCTGTTTGAAAGAATGTGGATAAATCAAAAGTGGTCACACTTTTAGGCTTGATCTTTGCTGTAAATGATAAAGTAAAAGTCGTAAGTCTATCCTTAAAAAAAGCACTCAAACAAACATTTTTTATAAGAAATAAGACCAAATATTTTTTATAAGAAACAGTGAATTCCCATGCGTTGATATACAGCTAATTCGCTATTCAAGAGGGCAAGAAACACTGCATGTTATGGTTCACACTTAATTTATGGTTTAATTTTCAAACCTGAGAGGCATTTTTGTTTTCATTTTCCAGTCATGTTTTGCAGCTGTCATCTGTCAGCTGATTTTTCTTAGTTTTCCTCTGTCTTAACCATACACAGGTCTTCTATCATGTACTACCATCAATAAAATAAATAACTGCACCCTAAAACAGCTTAGCTACAGATATCAGAGGGTCCGCCCCAACCATCAGCCTCAGTGGATAACACCCTCCTCAATCTGTATAATTCTTCACATCAAACTCAACCCATCCAATAATAATTGCTACTAACATAACCATTTCATAGCTAGGATACCAAATAACCAGTACCTGAACAATGAAAAGCGTTTCCTCTGATGGATCAAAAAATGACTCTTGAAATGAAACAACATGTGGGTGTTTTAACTGAGCTAAAATGCTAAGAAATCGACAAATAAAGTAATAAAAGTAATATGAGTCAAGTATCCAAAGAAAGCGCCAACCCTCCTGATTTATCTGGGAGTCTCTTGGATAAGGCACCAATCTCCCAGTCCCCTCTACCGGTCATCATTCCAAATCTCCTGGATAAAATAGACCTTTGAGTTTTTCTGTACTTTAGTTTTGGAATTTTCCCATTTGTTCCTCAAATCTGAATTTTTTTTATTTGATTCATAGCATGGTTTCTAGAGGAATTTTGTATGTATTTCAACACTGACAATAATATTTCGTCAGTACAATCACAAAAGTGAATTTTGATGACCTGTACCTCATGTAAGACTTCATATAATGTCCTTAGCCACAACCATGTTATACAAGCCATCTGATGTTACGCGATGGTGCGATTTTGCACAATTGACAGTCAAATCGCATCCGATCGCATAATTTGTAAAAAAAAATGCTAAATTCAAGTACAGTAAACAATGAATTCTAACTTTAATGAAACACTTTCCCAATCTTTAATGTTATTTAAGGTGATTTACCACTAAACAAAGCCTTGCAAGACATCTGAAACCTTCGACCGCGGTATCTGGGTAGCCATTTTGATTTCAGAGAGCAGCAGTATGGTCAGCGGTGTAACGGAATCATGTTGTAATAATTATACTAATCAAACTGCATAACTCGACACTAAGCAGGACACATCATAGCGGGTTCCAACGACAACTTTATTTCTAGTAGCATTGTGGGTAATGACAACTTCTTAGAGGGTACTCAATATATTACACTACTCCTCCCCATACGAAAGATACAAACAACAACGGTAAACAAAAATAAACAGCAGCCTAAGCTACAGATTAAGTTCTAATTCTCAATGATTGCCTAAAAATAACTGGCAATGATTCTTTACAATGACTAGGTTCCGATTCCTCTTTGGTAGGCTGCGATACATCATTAGAAACTAATTCAGTGTCTAGAACCAGAACAGATTGGTCACATAACTCAGGAACTGATATCTCAATTTCACTAGATTCATTTGGCCCTTTATCATGAGCCCTAATGAAATGATCAGCATGAACGTATCTAGTCTTATGTCCAGTTTTCACTAAATAAGTTCTAGGTCCACACAACTTAACTACCCTTCCCAGGACTCACCTCACAATATTGCCTTTGGCTCGAGTGTTCCTTACCTGAACTATGTCATTTTCCGAAAACTGCCTATCCTTATGATTCTTTAAATCCTTATGTTGCTTCTGTTTGCTCTGTTTATTCTCAACCTCTTGGGCTAGGTCAGGTTTCACAAGACTTAAGCGAGTACGCAGACGGCATTTCATTAACAACTCAGCAGGCGTTGCACCCGTGGTGCTGTGTGGAGTTGTGCAAGCAATGGGTCCAGCACAGTGGCCTTCCCAATATCCTTTGCTGTTATTGGGAAGTCCTCATCAATAGCGCTCACACTATAAATCTCACTTTCACACCCTATCATTGAGTCCTCATGGGGCAACCGGGAGAGTGCATCACAATTACTATGTTTTTCTGACCTTCTGTACTCAATTTGATAATCATATGCAGAAAGGACAATGGCCCATCGCTACATACGGGCAGCCGCCATTGTGGGAATGGCTGCTTTTGGGCCTAACAATGCTAGCAAGGGCTGATGATCTGTCATAGGTGTAAACTTTCGTCCATATAGGAACTGATGAAATTTTTTAACCCCGTACACATGGACAAAGCTTCGCGTTCTGTGCATAGTTTCTCTCGCTTCAGCTTAGAGTACGGGAGGCAAAGGCTATCGGCCTTTCTTGACCGTCATCCTTAATATGACTTAACACTGCCCCTAGGCCATAACTTGATGCATCACAGGCTAACCTTAATTCCCGATTCAGGTCATAGTAGACTAACAATGAATCACTAGTTAGGCCCTCCTTACAGGCTTCAAAAGCTTTCTGGAAGTCGTGTGTCCACTCCTACTGTACGCCCTTTTACAAAAGCCTATGCAAGGGTGCCAGCATTGTGGCTAGCCCTGGCAGGAAAGACTGAAAGTATTGCATTATGCCTCGGAAAGATCTCAGTTCACTTACATTGCGAGGGGTGGGTGCTTCCTTTACTGCACTGATTTTCTCTTTCACTGGTTGCAGACCTAACGCACTGATTTTTAGGCTTAAGTAGACCACTCCAGGTTTCAAAAACTCACATTTGGACAGTTCCAAATGCAAATTGTACTTGTGTAAATTGTCCAAAACTTCTGCAAGTATCTTAAGATTCTCTTGCCAATCATTCCTACATACCAAAACGTCATCCTGCTTACATACACATTTCTCAATTCCCAGGAGAATCTGATCTATTTTTGCCTGAAATATTTTTGGGGATGACTTGACACCATAAGGTAGTTTCAAATAGGAATACAACCTTTGTGGGTGCTAATAGTCATATACTCTTGACTTTCTTTGTCAACATTCAGCTGTGCATACGCATGTGATAAATCAAGTTTGCTAAATACCTTTGAACCAACAAGAGCAGTATACAAATGCTGAGTAGTGGGCAAGACATATGGCTCATCCCCCACAGACTGATTAATGGTCGCCTTATAATCTCCGCAAATTCTCACAGTGTTGTTGGACTTTGGCACTACCACAAAAGGGCTTGCCCAACTCGACTTATCCGTTTTCTTAATCACCCCATGTGTCTCAAGTGTCTGGAAACGTCATCATTACCTACCGATTCCTTGCGGCCCCTGACTGTGTGACTGTATAAATCAACTGTAAGTTCTTTCCTTAATATACGCGCAAGTTACTAGAGTTCCTCCTCGGGATTTCGCCTTCTGGGCGAAATCGCTGCGGGGACAATTACACAATAAATAAACAAGTGTCCTTTTTTCTTTCTTTCTAATTGTTTTCTTTTCTGGGTCAAGATAATTGGACAAATTTAACAATTTTCGTTTTAAAATAGATGTTTCATTATTCCTTTACATTCAAATTGCCAGTTAAACAACATTAAAGCGGTTTTTGCTACTTTAAAACCTGCTAAAAACACTGTAAATCAGCCCTGAAAAAAATCGCACAATTTATCGCATAATAGTCCTATCTCATCGCACAATCTGCCCTAAAAACGCCGCATAATTTCTGATTTTTCATCGCACCCTATCTGGAGAGTAACCTATCTGGCCTGGAGAGTAACCCATCTGCTCTCTCGCATAACTGACCAAATGACCAAAAAATATCGAAAGCCGCCACCGAGAGATACTCAGCAGTAATGACGCAAAAAAACCTCTCCCTGGGTCAGCGGCATAAAATGTAACGTCCGATCGGACGTTTCATTTTATGTAATGTAACATTTTATGCAACATTTTTTTAAATGTAATGTAACAGTTTATTTAATACCCCCTCACGGAACAGTTTTTCAGTTGGAAATTACAGTGATTATACGCGACTTTTTCGTCAGTATTGTTTCAGCTGCCAGTGCAACATCACCATCAATGTTTTTAAGTACCCATATATTTATGAGCCACTCTTTCAAGCAACTACTTATTGAACTACCTGGGAATAAATTCCCAATTGCTGCGACATTTCTTCTTCCGAATAGTCAACCATGAAACAGGAGGGGTTCCATTTTTGGTTCCACGACTTCAGAACAGACAACGCCTCAAAGATAGTATCAGTCGTCTCACTTTGAACAACGAAAGAACCTACAATCTGATAGTCAACGTTAGTCTTGACAACAACAAAGAAAAGAGGGAGGCTGTATCTTGTGGTCTTGTAAGTTGCGTCTAGCATACAAATATCGTTTCCATATCGCTCTAAAAGTCGTCTCTGATCTTTTGACTGATGAACAAAGAAGAGCCCCTTTGTGGATGTCTTAATTATTCGCTCATCTTCTCCCTCATTGTCAGACTCTCCGTCACTGTCCTCTTCAGGTCGCGTGCTTTCTTCTTCACTGGCGTAGGTGGCGTATGGGTGATATGCGAAGAGTCATCGGGTGAGGTTTTTTTTCAAAGCTGTACTCTCTTTAAAAGGTCTTCCTGGTCAATTTTTGAGAACCTTTCCTTAACAATTGACTTGTAAATGTGGCTGCGGATGGTCGCTTTGGAGGGATAGAGCCGTCGGATGGTTTTCAGAGGTTCTTGTTGTCCTCGATACAACTCCCGCTGGACAAAAATCTTAAGGTGCCAACGAACCTCCTTCTCAGATCTTGCGCCTGCAGAAACGAGCTCTTGAATTTTGGTCACCAGCCTTCGATTCCGTCGATTCGCTGATGGAGACCGCCGGCCTACCAAAGAATAATGAATTAAAACAAAACAATATTGGCAAGATATTTTCGGATTAAAAACAGATTATTGACTATTGACATGTAAAAACACCTCCCACATGCAAATTATAATAAAAAACCTTGAACAGATAAAAGTTTAAAACGCTTACGTCTCCAGTTGGGTGATTCGTATGTTCATCGACCGATGGAAGATGTACATGGATTCATCTTTCATATTTTGTTGTCCTTCTTCTATGGCCTGTCGTGACTTCTTGGACTGGCTCTTACAACGCCATTCTGTCTTTTCTGGTATCTATATAACATAAAAGCACAAAAAACGCAGCTTAACGAGAGGTTAATTCTATTAGGTTAATTTTGTAACCACTGTAATTCTCGCGGTTGTTGGTATTTACCTTATACTCTGGGAATTTGATGATCTCTCTCAAATGTACCGGTGCAGGACAATTGAGCTTTCTAGACTCTTGAAGAAGTTTGCCAGCTCCTTTTTTTCGATAAGCATGGTCACCATCCGACAGGAAAGAACACAAACATGTCAGGCGGAGGAACAAGCGAAAATTGGAAAATCGATATGAAAAATAAACTAACCGTTTGATTTTTTTTTCTCTCTCACATGTCTGTCCACACCATGCTGACAGTCGTACACTTTGTGATTAACCACAACAAATGGGATGCGGCCAAAACGCTAGCCTGCGAGCAAGCTCTCCATTTGGGGTGATATCGTGAAAAGTACACGCGCGACAGGCACGCGAGAGGAGACGCGACAGCGGGGGCGTTCTCGCGCGGCTCGCTTCGCTCGCCCAAATAGGAGAGCTTGCTCGCAGGCTACCGTCTTCCCATAACACTTTGTGCTTGTGGGATTTAATATCTGTTAATAGACAGAAAACCTATCAGTGGCCGATCCAGACCTTCAGATAAGGGGGGGGGGAGGAGGAGGGGTGATCATCCAGACCCTTAGATGAGGGGTGGGCGGTCTGAAAAAAATTTTTTTTCGGTCCTTCGGGCCTCAGTTTGGTGTAAAAGTAAAGATCCCCTGGATCCGGCACTGTCTATGTTGAAGCATTTCCCTACCACTAGAGACCTTGTTACTATTAACCTGTTCTCCCTTAAAATGTTCGTTGCTGGATGGGAAACCAGAGCTTTTTCTGATCTAGCAGTTCACTTGTGAAATCAACCACACAACCTCCCTAAACCTTCTCCATACTCCTACCCTCACATTATTGTTTCTATGTACACAGGTGCGTTTCATTTCCTTTTGAAGAAATAATTTATATTACATTTAAACACTTGAACTCTGCTTTATAAGAATTTGAAGTTGGCCCGACTGATTAGCCTAAATATAAATATACGCATATCATAGAGCTGTTAGTTGATATTTCCTCGGAGTTTATATTCAAGAAGCGCAAGGTCTCCTCGATTTGCCACATCAGCGGTTGCACGCTATCATGAATAAAATAGGAAGCCCCTTACCTGTGTTCCCAAATCCTTTGCTTGCTTTGAAACAAGCGTATCTCGTAATGGTTGTTGTTTCAAACTCTCTGAGAATTGACTCCGCGGCTTTGACATCCTTCACAAGACACGACCTCTCTGACAGTTTCTCTTCAAACAATGAACTTATTGCTTTTAAAGTATATTCCTTTACGCATATCATAGAGCTGTATAGTTGATATTTCCTCGGAGTTTATATTCAAGAAGCGCAAGGTCTCCTCGATTTGCCACATCAGCGGTTGCACGCTATCATGAATAAAATAGGAAGCCCCTTACCTGTGTTCCCAAATCCTCTGCTTGCTTTGAAACAAGCGTATCTCGTAATGGTTGTTGTTTCAAACTCTCTGAGAATTGACTCCGCGGCTTTGACATCCTTCACAAGACACGACCTCTCTGACAGTTTCTCTTCAAACAATGAACTTATTGCTTTTAAAGTATATTCCTTTACGCATATCATAGAGCTGTATAGTTGATATTTCCTCGGAGTTTATATTCAAGAAGCGCAAGGTCTCCTCGATTTGCCACATCAGCGGTTGCACGCTATCATGAATAAAATAGGAAGCCCCTTACCTGTGTTCCCAAATCCTCTGCTTGCTTTGAA